ATGGAGACGATGCTGTAGAGAGAGAAGTGGGAGGAGCTTAGAGGGGAGAGTTTGAAAAACGACAGTTTATGTTCAGTTAGGGTTTAGGTTCAGAGGAGTGAACAGTCATGAGTTAGGTTTTAGGTTCCGAGGAGTGAGGAGTTAGGGTTTTGGAGTGGGAGTTAGCAGTTGAGAGAGAGAGAGTGGGAAGGAGAGAAGCAGTGTTTGTGAATAGTCAGAGGTTTCTTCAGTTTAGGAAGGCTGAAGGGGAAACCTAATTAGTTTCATTAGTTAGAGAGGACTAAGAGAAGCTTGTTTAGATCACTAGTTAGAAATGAACTAGAGATCTGGGGTTTGATCACGGAAGGATCAAACAGGAAGGCTATTCACCTCAGGAAACATTGTTTAAGAAAGTGCTTCACCACAGTAAAAGTCAATTACAAGTTGTAACATCCAGAAGTGTGAACTGTATTGCAACCAAGTTACATGTAAAGTTCTCAAAGTATTTCCAAGTTTATCAACAGCCTGCAACCATACGCTTTGTTCAAAATAAACTTGTTCTCTTTTGTTTGAAGACTGCCTCATCTCCATTAATTCTGCGTCCAGTGTGCCATATCTCCCAATAATACCTCACATCACACATTGGTGGCACCATTAAGAGTAATAAATAATAAATCGTCCCTCCTCTCTCCTAAGACGTTACTATATATATATATATATATATATATATATGGTTTTAAAGTTAGCTACACTATCCTAGCGATGTGTGTGATGGATCCCCATCAATCATATCGAATTGTTGTGGAATCTCCTCTGGAGGTTTTTAAGCAGAGACTGGGGATCATCTGTTGGAAGGGCTTGAATTATATCTTCCTGCATGGCAGGGAGTTGAACTTGATGGGTTTTGGGAGCCTCTTCCAATTTTATGATTCTATTATATGAGTATTGTTATCATTTATGGATGCAAATTTATCTGAAATTGGGTTAGAAGGAGACAGGGAGAAGGAAAGATACACCAGCCACAGGTGTTGTTGTTGTGTGCCTTCGCATTGTTTCCAGACTTATGGCAAGCCTAAGCCAACATTGGGTTTTCTTGACAGACTTTGTTCAGAGGTTTGTGATTCCATTCCTTTTGGGGCTGAGAGATTGTGACTTGTCAGAAGTCACCCAGTGGGTTTCCATGGCCAAGCAGGGATTTGAACACTGACTTCCAGAGTCATAGTCCAACACTCAAACTATGATATGACCATGACTCACCAGCCACTGGTAATCCTGCTAATTTTGCCTTTTATTGTTTCAAATAGAATGTGTCAATTGCAATTCGTCTTCACTGCAGTAGCTTTTCTCATTTTATGAAATATTTTTGCTTTGCTCAATGTAATCAAATCTCTGGTGGCTTATACTTAAATCAGTACAAACAATTTAAAAATAGAATGGAAATAATTTCAGTATTCTAAACTGACATTCATCACAGTTTCTTCTGCTTCTTCTTTAACAGTGATGTGAGTTTCTAGTTAGCATGTGAGATAGCTTTCTATTTTCAAAAAAGACACAGGGTGGCAAGCAATTCTTTCTTGAACCACCGCCTTCAGACTATAACATATTACAAACAGAGCTCGTGCCAATCTATCCCTCCAACAGCGCCTTCGCTTTCCTCTTCCTTTTTTTGATGTAACATCAAACCTTTAGAACAAAAAAAAAATCAAACTCAAAAGGTAGTTCATTTCTTTGTGACTCGGGGCTGAACATAGTAATATGCACTGACAGCTTTTACCAGGGTATTCCTGACATAAGACACACAAAAAAACACGGAGTAACTAACTCCTGCCAAGTATGTCTATGGAGTATAGCTTATTTGATGGAATTGCATGTTTGGGACATTTGCATGCATCTATATTTCTGCAAAACCACCTCTGGTTATGTCTTGTCTACAAAGAAGCTGTGAGATTTATGGAGTCACCATAAGTTGACAAGCAACTTGAAGGCATATCCAGAATGGAACGTCACTCTTTTGGGCAACCTTTTCATGCCGTTTTGACAGCTGATTCTACATGTTTTGTAATGCTGGTTGAGCTGCCCTTCTCTGGGATTTTAAAATACAGTACTCCAAAATTTTAAAATAGAATAATAATAATAATAATAATAATAATAATAATAATAACAACAACAATAATCTATATAAATAAAATGTAATGTTCGTTTGTGGTATTAACAGAACTCAAAAAGCACTGGACGAATTGACACCAAATTTGGACACAAGACACCTAACAACCCAATGTATGTCCTTCACTCAAAAAATTGATTTTCTTATTTTGGGAGTTGCAGTTGCTGGGATTTATAGTTCACCAACAATCAAACAGCATTCTGAACTCCACCAATGATGGAATTGAACAAATATTGGGAAACAGAACTCCCATGACCAAAATAAAATACTAGAAGGGTTTGGTGGGCATTGACCTTGAGTATGGGAGTTGTAGTTCACCTACATCCAGAGAGCACTTTGGACTCAAACAGTGATGGATCTGGACCAAACTTGGCCGAATCCTCAATTTGCCAAAATGTGAATACTGGTGGAGTTTGAGGAAATAGACCCTGACATTTGGGAGTTGACATTTCTGGGATTTATAGTTCACCTACAATCAAAGAGCATGCAGAACCCCACCAACGACAGAATTGGGGCAAACTTCCCACACAGAACCACCATACTTAAGGCCATCCAGTCCTTCTCCCTTCACCAGGGCAAGAAAACGTAACCAAAGCCCTCCTGACGAAGAGCCATCCAGCCATAGATATAGATAGATATATTTGATTCACACGCATACACAGATATAGTATCACAGATTTGAAAGGGACCCCTAAAGAAGGACAATTATATGACGCATGTTCCAGAGTAGGCAAACCAGACAATCTCCACATCAACACTGACATAAAAACAACAAGGAACACTGTTTACCCACAAGCATAAAGTAGTTATATATATTAGAAACCATTACTTTATTTTCCAGATCACCGGACTGGGCCACAGCAATGCATGGCAGGGGACGGCTAGTAATAATAATAAAACTTTATTTATACCCCGCTCCCTCTCCCCCAGGGGGACTCAGTGCGGCTTACATGAGGCCATGCCCATCAATACTGTAAACACAATATAACACAAAAGCATAACAAAACCAGATACATAAAATTCAAACCCAAATATCCACATGTTGACCTAGCGACACCTTTGTTTCCTGATGATTCAGTGTGTACAAACTTTTCTACATGAAAAAAAAAGAATTTTAAATATATAAAATTACCTTCAGGCCATGTGTATAAGGCACATATGAAACATAAATGAATTTAATGTGAGACTTGGATCCCGCCTCTCAAAATACTTCCTTATAGATATGCAAATTCAAAATCTTCTGCTCCTGACCATTTCAAATAGGGCTGGACTTTAGCGCAGCTGATTAATCACCAGCAGCAATAAATCACACCAATAAGCAGTTCGAAGCCTGGGTCTGGGTGAGCACCCAACCTTCAGCCCAGCTCACTGTCCACCTAAGCAGTTTGAAAACCGCTGTGAGTGGTGAGTAGAAAAATTAGGCACCACTTAATTGGGGAGGTATTTCATGGCACCATAAAACGAAATACCATCCGGGGAGCAGGGCCTCCCCGGATGATCTTAGATTATGAGGTAGGACGTAGGGACCATTGGGAGTTTGACGTTTGCAGATTTTATAATTTTGGATTTGTTTATAAATAGGTTCTCTTTTGGAATCCCTTAGTCCTCCAATACAACTGTATAGTCAACTTTTGCCAGACATTGACTATAGTGTCATGTGAGAGGACCTAAATATAACTAGATAGAATTCCTCTCCAGGGATCTCTAGGTCGTTCATAGTGATTCAGTGCTCAATTTCTCACAGAAGTTGACCATAGAGCCATGCTGGACAACCTAGAGATTCCTAGGGCCCACACAGCCATATAATCCATAATATGAAGGCAGATAAACCATAATGAGACATGCCACATTATCACGGGGTGTCTGCACCCTACACCACTGGAGAAATTACACTGCTTAACCAGTATTGCACCACCTGACATCCGCCGGGAAGTAGCAGCCAATAGTGAAAGGACCAAGGCAGAGACATCTCCAGCTCATCTCTTGTTTGGGCATCAGCCAGCACGTCAACAACTTAAATCTAGAAATAATTTTCTAAGATCTACAGAGACACTCGCTGGGACACCTCAGCAAGCGAGAGTCCAAAAGTGGCAGGCTCAAACCCAGAACCTCAATCAATGGCTGATACCAAATGAGAGACTCCCCCCTGGGCACACAGAAAACTGGGCGACTTGGAAGGTGCTGAACAGACTGCGCTCTGGCACCCCGAGATGCAGAGCCAATCTCAAGAAATGGGGCCACCAAGTGGAGACCACGACATGCAAGTGTGGAGAAGAGCAAACCACTGACCACCTGCAGCAATGCACCCTGAGCCCTGCCACATGCACAACGGAGGACCTTCTTATAGTAACACCAGAGGCACTCCAAGTGGCCAGATACTGGTCAAAGGACATTTAATCAACTACCAAATTTGCAAATTTTGTGTTTTGTCTGTTTGTTTTGTTCTGTTAGAAATATAATACAATTGACTGGTTGCCCTGACACGACAAATAAATAACCATAATATCTGCTTTGAACTGGGTTATGTGGGTCCACACTGCCATATAATCCAGTTCAAAGCAGATAATGTGGGATTTTATACAGGTGTGTGGAAGGGGCATGGGAAACATGTACTTTCTGGTAATGAAAGATAGCATTATTTTAAAAACCTTGGTATTTCACTTTTGTGGGGGACCTGTATCTCTAATCTCAGTGGATGTGGTTGTAATATGAACTTAATATTAGATTTTTTTTCAAAGCTTTCTTAGATAAGTCTGGAAACTTCACCTTACCATTTAAATTTTTATTAGTAGCATCACAGGTTTAAATAAAGCAACCCAAGGCTGGAAGCAGACTAAAATATTTGTCTTTTGTTTAGATGATGAAGACCGCCAGCAGCAAGTGGTGGCCGCTGCAGCAGCCAGGCCTCAGCCCTTCACCGGAGAGCGGGGCGAGGGGATGCCCCGGCGCCGAAGGAACATGGGAAACAGATTGCTGGCTCAGAGGCGGCAGCAGGCAGAGGACGCGTCAGAAGGTAACCATTGCCAGTGAGATAAGTTTCATCTTGTGTGATGGTTCATTTAGAGCAGGGGTCCTCAAACTTTTTAAACAGGGGGCCAGGTCACAGTCCCTCAAACTGTTGAAGGGCCAGATTATAATTTCAAAAATATTTGAATGAATTCCTATGCACACTGTACATATCTTATTTGTAGTGCAAAAAACTCTTAAAATGTAGAAAAAATTAACAAATATAAACTTATTAGTATTTCAATGGGAAGTGTGCACCTGCTTTTGGCTGATGAGATAGGATTGTTGTTGTTGTGTGCTTTCAAGTCATTTCAGACTTAGGGTGACCCCAAGCGAGGCCCGGGTAAATGACCTTGGAGGGCCGTGTCTGGCCCTCGGGCCTTAGTTTGAGGACCCCTGATTTAGAGATATGGTTCTCAACCTGTGGGTCCCCAGGTGTTTTGGCCTACAACTCCCAGACATCCCAACAGCTGGTAAACTGGCTGGGATTTCTGGGAGTTGTAGGCCAAAATACCTGGGGACCCATAGATTGAGAACAGTGATTTTCAGAGTGCACATCCTGCCTTCTCATGTTCAAGAGGTCTTGGGACATTAGTGAAAACCATTAAATTGAGTAAAAATATACTATTATGTACAGCTTATCCAACTTAAACGGGCCGGCAGAATGTTGGATAAGTGAAAATGTTGGATAATAAGGAGGGATTAAGGAAAAGCCTATTAAATGTCAAATTACATTATGATTTTACAAATTAAGCACCAAAACACCATGTTTTACAACAAATTGACAGAAAGAGCAGTTCAATACATGTTAACGTTATGTAGTAATTACCATATTTATGAATTTAGCACCAAAACATCACAATGTATTGAAACAGTTGTTGGTCCGGGTAGGAGGCAGACTGCATTGGATAATGCAGAACATTGGATGAGCAAAGGTTGGATAACCGAGACTCTACTGTATACTTACTAGAGCAGTGTTCTCAAACTGTGGACTTCAGCTCCCAGACAGTTTACCAGCTTTTAGGAATTATGGGAGCTGAAGTCCAAAACATCTGGAGGACCATAGTCCTTTAGCATTGGTTAAACAAGAGTCCATGGCAGTAAGACAAGGTCTCCAAAATCAGGATCAAAATCAAAGTCTCAAAGAGCCAGAAGTTTTCCACAAAAGCCAAGGTATTTCCACAGAAGTTAACAGGGTATAAGCAACATTGGACTGACAAAGAATGCCCTTCTACCAGATCATTAAATATGTTCTCCCAACATGAAAGCATTACATTGACCTCTAGCTTCACGTTTGTTGGCAAGGCGTGCGCTTCTGCGAACTCTTAATTGTAAACAGTCCTGTCTAATCAATTCTCCACTATCTTCAAGGCTGGATATCTCATTATCCTTGCCCTGCTGGGCCTGGTCACCCTGGGAACCAAGAGGCCCTGAGCTCCCAGAAGAAGCCTCCACCTGGAGCTCCGAAGTTTCACTATCTTTATCTAAAGCCACATTCCTTTCTCTGGGGAACAGAAATGCTGTCTCTTTTTCACAATCAACACTGTCTGGTTCATCTGCCTCACTAACCGGAACATGTTCAGAAATCTGTAACCCATCATCCTCCTCATCCTGGGGAAACTCAAGCTCAGAAACCTCAGGCTCAGACTGAACCACAACACATATATAGGCTATTATCATGATTCAGGCCACTTCTTAGCCCATGCAAACTATCTTTTCCTTCCCAGAGGTCCACCCAGCTTTGCTACCTGCTTTGCTTTGGGGAGAAGGTGAACCTGGGGCTTTCTACACCGCGTTTGCAACTTCATCGCAATTTGCTGCGATCCCACAAGGCATCTGGGTCCTCAAACTCTCTGGATCAGCCCTAAAGCTAAGCGCTGCCCCTTACCTGACCTGCATACTCTCTCCTGTCAGGTGGAATTTTCTACCTGCCAAAATCAAGGATGTTTCTTTGCTGGGAAACAGGCAGTGCGTAATGAGCAAGCAACCCCTGGATGCCTTCCTTTTTTTTCCTTTTTTTTCTTTTTTGATGGGGCGCTCTGCTCTTCCACTTTGAAAAATTGTAGAACTTCTCCTCTTTGTTCTGTCGTAACCGCGCACCAGCTGAATTCATGATTACATTTGGTGGGTGCGCAGATGATAAATTGACAGCCCTGAACTTTTCAACTTAGGGTGTATCTCTTTGAAGTGTGAAGGCATTTCAAAAAGAATGAAATCAGAAAAATGCTTTTGATGTTTTCAGGCCAGGCTGCTTATAATTTCTGTCAAATTACCGAACCCCCTTGAAGTAATCTCAAAGGCATGGCACTGCTTTCATTGAGTCTTTCAGTGCAGCAGAGGAGTGCAGCGTGGGTGAAACAAGCCGCAGACATATCCGGACTCAGTCAAGGGTTGGTTGACCAGTCAGGTTTTGTCGCTCAAGTGACACCTGTCTGGGGCAGTTTGAAATGGTCAAACGTCCAGAAACACTTTGTGATTGTATTCAGGTATTATTCCAAGTGTCATGGTTGGTCCTGAAAAGGTTCATTGGTTGTTTTGCTTGCTTGTTTGCATCCTGCAAGTCGCTTCTGGTCGCTTCTAGAGTGAGAGTATCAGCTTTCTCTTCTTCAGGCTAAACATGCCCAGCTCTTTAAGAAGCTCCTCATAGGGCTTGTTCTCCAGACCCTTGATCATTTTAGTCACCCTCCTCTGGACACATTCCAGCTTGTCAATATCTCTGTTCAATTGTGGTGCCCAGAATTGGACACAATATTACAGGTGTGGTCTTACAGGCAAACAGGAGATTCAACCAACCCCTTATAAGAGATAGTAAAAGTAAAGGTTTTCTCCTGACATTAAGTCTAGTCGTGTCCGACTCTGAGGGTTGCTGCTCATCTCCATTTCTAAGCCAAAGAACCAGCGCTGTCAATAGACACCTCCAAGGTCATGTGGCCAGCATGACTGCATGGAACGCTATTACCTTCCCGCAGAAGCGGTGCTTATTAATCTACTCACATTGGCATGCTTTCGAACTGCTAGATTGGCAGAAGCTGGGGCTAACAGTGGGAGCTCACCCCTCTCTCTGGATTCGAACTGTCAACCTTTCAGTCAGCAAGTTCAGCTGGCCAGCATGATTGCATGGAGTGCTATTATCTTCCCGCAGAAGCAGTATCTATTGATCTACTCACATTTGCATGTTTTTGAACTTCTAGATAGGCAGAAGCTGGGGCTAACAGTGGGAGCTCGCCCCGCTCTCCAGATTCGAACTGTCGACCTTTTGGTCAGCAAGTTCAGCAGCTCAGTGAACCTGCTGCACCACCGGAAGAAATACAAACACATATATAAATTGTAATAACAAAATGTATGGTGGAGACAACATATTGCAGAAAAGGGACTGGTATGTTCCTTTTGAATTCACCTTAACTCTCCTGAGCATGCCTTTGAGCATTCGTTCCTAGTGCTGCAAGGGAGTTTGCTATGCCTTTTACTTTAATGATTCATGATTCCTATCCCTTCTGGAGCTCATTGTCTTTTGATTTCAAGTTTGCATCCAGTCTCCATTTTTTACACATTTTAAATTCATTTCTCTGACTAATATGAACAGTTGTCATAGTAACTTGGGATTAAAAAAATATATAAAGTGTGCTAAGTAATGGTTTTTGATAACGGTTACACTTAGGCTTTCATCTGAAAACCAGCCAGGACTGTTCCCATGAATAACGCAGGACCCTAGCCGCTCTCTCTCTCTCTCGAAAGTCCTCCTGGAAAAAACAGAACTTTCCTGAAAGATTAATGGTGGAATCAGCTGGACGGGCCCCCTGGGGTGGGATCACTTTGATAATGAGCTGTTGCTCTTCTTTCTCTTTCTCTTTTTAAACATTTAATAACATAACCTAGAGGAGAATGAGGACACCGAAGCTGCAGAGTTCCAGGTTTCTGGGAAGGTTGGAGCCAAAAAGCAGCGGAAGTTAGAGGAGAAGCAAGCAAGGAAAGCTCAGCGAGAGGTGAGTATTGCAAGTTTGGTGGGTTCGGGGGGGCAGTTTTGCCTCTGCGTGGGCTACCCCTACCAAACAAAATCCGGCTACCAGTATTTTAAATACTCTAAAATAAAGACAGTAAATAAAGAACAACACTCAAAAAATCAGGGGAATTCCAGGCAAGAATCAATCATGACCAGCTAACACTTCCCAGCAAAGGATTCCCCAGACGGGAAGCAGACAGGCTTTGAAGCTGCAATGCCATTCAATGCTAACCAAGCTGGCCAATTTCAACACTCACACTTGCCTCCAACAGACAAGAGTTCTTTCTCCCACCCTGGACATTCCACAGATACATAAACTTCACTTGCCCAGTCTCCAACAAACCTCAAGGACATCTAATCACCTCTCAACAAAAGATTGCCCCAGGCACTAACAAGCCACACCAAATAACTGCCAGGCCATCAAATGCTAATCAAGGAGCGTCAGGAGTGACTTGAGAAACTGTAAGTTGCTTCTGGTGTGAGAGAATTGGCCGTCTGCAAGGATGTTGCCCAGGGGACGCCCAGATGTTTGATGTCTTTTACCAACCTTGTGGGAAGCTTCTCTCATGTCCCCACATAGGGAGCTGGAGCTGACAGATGGAGCTTGATCTGCTCTCCCCGGATTCAATCTGCTCACCTGTTGGTCAGCAGTCCTGCTTATTTATTTATTTATTTACAGTATTGATATTCCGCCCTTCTCACCCCGCAGGGGACTCAGGGCGGGTTACAATGTACACATACATGGCAAACATTCAATGCCATAGACACGCAACACATATAGACAGACACTCAGAGGCTATTTGCTGGCACAAGCGTCTAACCTAGTGGTTCTCAACCTGGGGTCCCCAGATGTTTTTGGCCTTCAACTTCCAGAAATCCTAACAGCTGGTAAACTGGGATTTCTGGGAGTTGTAGGCCATAAAAACATCTGGGGACCCCGGGTTGAGAACCACTGGTCTAACCTATTGTCCCACCAGGGGCTCCTTGAAGGAAGGATACATTTAATAGTGTCGACCCAATGCAGTACAATAAAAATAATAGAACCTTAAGAGGTGGAAGTCATCCCAAGGGCCATCTAATCCAACCACACCTGCCTTGCAGGAATACACAACCTTTAGAAGAGTGGTTCCCAACCTGTGGGTCCCCAGGTGTTTTGGCCTTCGACTCCCAGAAATCCTAACAGCTGGTAAACTGACTGGGATTTCTGGGAGTTGTAGGCCAAAACACTTGGGGACCCACAGGTTGAGAACCACTGCTTTAGAAAAATCCCCATCCATCCTTTGCCTAAAGACATGCAAATATGAAGAGTCCACTACACTCTGAGTAAGAATCTCCAGTATGGTTAGATATGGCAACATTTCTAATAAGTACTGAGATGAATGGTAGTTTTTGAATTGTATGATTCTCTGAAGAGTATTATTTGGCTTTTTCCTCACCTGCTGAAATATCGAAGGCTGAAGAAGCAGAACGGGAGGAACGAAAGAAACTTGAGCAGAAGCGAGAAGAGGAGAGGCGTAAAGAGGACGAGCGGCTGCGGCAGGAGGAAGAAAGACAGGTGAGCTTCAGAGTGGCCTGGAGAAGGACAGGGGACTTTCTTTCTCTTGCATTCACATCCTTCATCCGTTCATTCCTGTTCCTCGCTTTCTCTCTCTTTCCACTTCTATCTCCCCAGTCTTTCCACTGTTTCAGTGCAGACTTTGTAAAAAGAAGTTTTTATCGTGAATGTGTTTATTGGAATGTTATTTTGTTATTGTGTATGTATGTATGTGTGTGTGTGTGTATATATATATCTGTGTAATTTTGATGATGTTGTTTATTGTCTATGTTTTGGTGTTATTTTGCTGTAACATGTTGTCCGGGCTTGGCCCCATGGTGGCGGGGTATAAAGTTGATTATTATTATTATTATTATTATTATTATTATTAAAGTTTTGCTGTGAAAGACGTTGTTAACTGTGTAGTACGGTCTCACAAGCATCTCCTTGCCTGTTTGTCCGGAGCAGAGATACGAGGGGCATTCACTAAAGATTTCCCCTGACCCACTTCTATTTATCACAGGACGCTGAAACTACACATGTGTAATGATATAAGTCTCTATAGGTTATGTGCCAATTTACAGCTCAGAACTATTAACAGTCTTGATTTGAGAGGTGCTGAAGTGGTGTGAGGTTGATAATGGGCCCAGTGGAAGGCAGGGCAGTCTTCAAGTTCCTTTACTTGAAAGGCCGCACACCAAAGGAGACATTCGATGAGATGAAAGAGGTTTATGGTGAGGATTCCCCATCATATTATGTAGTCAAGGACTGGCATCATCAATTCAAATGTAGTCCGACTTTGGTGCAAACAGCTCCAATTCCAGGGTGACCCCACCCTGCTATTGATGAACACACCATCCTGCAAGTGGAGGTCGCCATTTCAGAAAATCACTATGTAACCATTTGCCACCTAGCCCAAAATGTCAAGATTAGTGTGGGGTCTGTGGAAAAAATAATCTAAAACCATCTTCACATGCATAAGGTATCCACTCGCCGGGTCCCCTGGCTGCTCACATGTCATGTTGCCAGGGCTCTACCTTATTTAGGTAGAGATTAACCAAACTCCCAGTTTTATCAAACAGTAACTAAAATAGCACTTACTTGCTGACTGCTTTAATAGACCAAAACATAAAACATAAAGATAGCACCCAGCCACAGAATAAACAAAAACCGTTAGCAAAAACAACTCCGTAATCAAAAGGGTCCAGTCCAGTGATCAAATGCCAAGAGTTCAATAAACAAAGTCCAGGGATCAAGAGTCTATACCGTAGTCAAAAGCCAGTCCAAAGGTTCAAGGTTCCACAATTCCAAGATTACAGGAGATAGGTCAGAATACCGAAAAATCCAACAGACCTGGGGGAAAAACCAGCAGCATCTACCACCAAAAATACAACAGATACTTTTTTTCCCAAAGATCACACAGGATGAAAGCTGGACCTATCACTCTGATCCTGAGACTAAAGTCCAGTCGATACAATGGAAGCATCAGGACTCACCGCCTCCAAAGAAGGCATGTGCCCAACTCTCGGCAGGCACGGTCATGCTCACAGTATTTTGGGACCAGCACAGAGTAGTATTGGTAGATATCCTAGCAAAGAGAACCATGATGACTGGGACATATTAGGCTTCACTGCTGCAGAAATTGCAGGAGGCCATCAAAACCAAGAAAAGTGGCATGCTCATAAAGGTGTCCACCTTCTGCAAGACAATGCACCAGTTCACAACTCAACTGTTGCCCAAATGGAAGAAGCATGCTCCGGTGGCTTTGAAATTCGACTGCATCCTCCTTATTCTACAAGTGAGGTGTTTACAGTTGCTTAAAAAGATGGGAGAAGTGTGTGTCCCTAGATGGCACCTATGGAGAGAAGGAGTCATAACTGTTCCAAGTTTCATTGCTCTCAGTCCACAGGAAGTGGGTCAGAGGAAATCTTTCATGAACGTCCCTTGTAAGTCACTTCTGGTTGAGAGAAGTCTGCTGCTCTTATTGCCTGCAAACAACATATCCAGAGCTCACAACCTCTGGGGATGCCTGTCATAGATGCAGGTGAAACATCAGGAGAGAATGCTTGTACGACATGGCCATACAGCCCAAAAAAACCTACAACAACCCAGTACCCAGAGCTCCTTTGCTTCCAATCCATTTGCATATACCTGCTTCTGCTCCTGTTCTTCCCCTGGAGTACTGTTGATTTAAGATCAGAGAATTGTTTTATTTATTTCTTTTTGAAGATCTGCGCCTGGGGTTTTTGATCAAACGGTCCTCAAAGCAGCTTGTAACAGAATGCAATAAGACGAAATGAAAGCTACGCACAGCATTCTCTTGGTTGGCGGAAGGGGCCAGTTGTGTGTTTGCATTCAGTTGTCACAGTCTTCGAGCAGTTAATAGCGGTGATGCAGAAAAAGTAAAACTGGAAATATTTCCAAAAATATATCCAATGTTCTAAATATTGATTTCCTTCAAGCTCATGTTAACTTATAATGAGAGGATTCCAACTTAAGATGCAAACATATGAAGATGCGAATCATTGTATAAGTTTCATTTCTGGGTTATATAAGCTGCAGGGCCATCTGTGCAGACAGGGTGTTGCTCCTGGGTTATACATGTCTGTTCCTGATTGTTCTTATTGTGAAAAGATGTACAATGTTAACTAGGGGACCACAGCTTTGTCCTGGCCAAAGAAAATATGCCCTGAAGTTTCTGGCACACAAACAAAGTTTTTGCATTCTACTCAACTGTCACCTTCTTTTCAGAAACAACCAATCAGGAACAAACAACTAAAACTCGGGAACAAACCCAGATTTAAAAAATCCCATGATTTCTAAGTTCAGGTCATATAAACATCCGAAGATTTGGATTTTCGGCTCCAAACCGGGATATTCCCACACCTGAAAATCTTGTGGTTTTTGCTGTATTCATTTATTTACAGTATTTATATTCTGCCCTTCTCACCCCGCAGGGGTCTCAGTGCGGATTACAATGTACACATATATGGCAAACATTCGATGCCAAAGACACACAATAGATATAGACAGACAGTCAGAGGCTATGCCTTAGTCACCTCTAGACTGGATTACTGTAACGTACTCTACATGGGGTTGCCCTTGAAAACAGTTCAGAAATTCCAGATGGTCCAACGGGCGGCAGCCAGGTTGTTAACTGGGGCTCCTTACAGGGAGCGGTCAACCCTCCTGTTTAAGGAGCTCCACTGGCTGCCATTCATTTACTGGACCCAATTCAAGGTGCAGGTTCTCAGCTACAAAGCCCTGAACGGTTTGGGATCCGCCTACCTTCGTGACCGCATCTCTGTATACGAACCCGCACGATCTCTTCGATCATCTGGAGAGGCCCTGCTCATGCTCCCACCTGCATCGCAAGCGCGATTGGTGGGGACAAGAGAGAGGGCCTTTTCGGTGGTGGCCCCTCGACTCTGGAACTCACTCCCTAAGAACATCAGGCAGGCCCCAACTTTGGCAGTCTTTAAGAAGAGCTTGAAGACGTGGTTGTTCCAGTGTGCCTTCCCAGAATAATGATCCCATAGCACTTTGTCCTCCAAAACACTTTATATTGTTTTAGATCTGCTTGTATGTTCCCACAAACCGCCCCATCATTTTCGCCCATGTCCAGCATTATTTTTTAATCTTTTAAATTTTAATTACATTTGGCCTACCCATAGATTTTAAAGTGTGTTGTCCTATTGATAATGCAACTGTTTTGTTGTTTTTTTACATTGCTTGTATTGTTATTGCTTGTATTGTTGTATTTTGGGCTCGGCCTCATGTAAGCCGCACCGAGTCCCCCGGGAAGATGATAGCAGGGTATAAATAAAGTGTTGTTGTTGTTGTTTATTATTATTATTATTATTATTATTATTATTATTATTAAAGTCTGCAGGGGAGCTGTCGCTTTCATCGTCCATCTGCGACACTGATGAAGTACTTCCGCATTCCCCGCATGCTTTTGCTGGAGTGCTTTGCTGGAGTCTTTTTTATGGCCTCGTAAATTAGTTAAATTAGCCTCCTCACACATAGGTGGTACCTAATTTTCCTACTTGACAGATGCAACTGTCTTTCGGGTTGCAAAGGTCGACAACAAGCTACACAATTGGTCGGAAGCTCACTCCGACCCGGGCTGGCTTCGAACTCATGACCTTTTGGTCAGAAGTGATCTTAATGCAGCTGACACTCAACCAGCTGCGCCACAGTCCCGGTGCTGAAAATGAAGAGGGAAAAGTGGGAAGAAGAGAGAAACTGGGATATTTTAACAGCAGATGAAAAAGGGAGGATTAATTAGTGCATTTGCTGCCAAATCAGGAACGCTTGAAGATAGAAACGAAAGCTATTATTAAAAATAGCAAAAAGTTACACTATGTAACGACATTTTAAAACTTTTCTGTTCCTGGTTTGAAAGTGTTATATCTGCTTAACTATGTGGTACTTCCTTTGATAGTAGTTGTTCTGCTCCAGAAACTTTGTTTTTGTGTCTACCACAAACTAGGTTGGATTGGTTGAGACTTGATGAGGTGTTCATTGATAAACTAGAGCAAAATGTGTTGCAGGATGTCCTGCAAAAAACAAAGTGTTTTGCAGTTTAACAAACTTTTCTTACGTTTTTACAATACAAGCAATTAGGAAATGACATTTGTAACCCAGAACAAACATCGTGTTACATAGTGTTATATTTGATTTTACAGCTGCCCAAGCTGACCTGCTTCTTTCATTTAGTTACGTTACTAGCTGTCCCCTGCCATGCGTTGCTGTGGCTCAGTCTGGTGATCTGGAAAATAAAATAATGAGAAAGTGTTGGTTTCTAATATATGTAATGTCTTTATACTTGCGGGTAAACAGTATTGCTTATTTTTCTATATAAGTGTTGATGTGGAGATTGTCTGGTTTGCCCACTCTGCAACAGGCAACATATAATTGTCCTTCTTTAGGGGTCCCTTTCAAATCTAGGATACTATATCTGTGTGTGTGAGAATCATATATATCTAACTATATCTATGGCTGGATGACTCTTTGTCAGGAGGGCTTTAATTATGTTTTCTTGCCCTGGTGAAGTTGGACTGGATGGCCTTAAGTATTTTCTGTTGGTCATGGGAGTTCTGTGTGGGAAGTTTGGCTCAGTTCTATTGTTGGTGGAATTCAGAATGCTCATTGATTTTAAGAGAACTATAAATCCCAGCAACTACAACTCTCAAATGTCAAGGTCTATTTTCCCTAAACTCCACCAATGTTCACATTTGGGCATATGGAATATTCGTGCCAAGTTTGGTCCAGTTCCATCATTTTTTGAGTCCACAGTGCGTGCTCTCTGGATGTAGGTGAACTACAACTCCCAAACTCAAGGTCAATGCCCACCAAACCCTTCTAATGTTTTCTGTTGTTTATGGGAGTCCTGTGTGCCACATCTGGTTCAATTCCATTGTTGGTGGAGTTCAGAATGCTCTTTGATTGTGGGTGGACTATAAATCCCAGCAATTACAACTTCCAAATAACAAAATCAATTTTTTTGAGTGAAGGACATACATTGGCTTGTTAGGTGTATGCTGTACAAATTTGGTGTCAATTCGTCCAGTGGTTTTTGAGTTATGTTAATCCCACAAACGAACATTACATTTTTATTTATATAGATTGTTGTTGTTCTCATATTTTTCTTTTGTTATTGTTTTCCTTGCGGAGAGCAAGCTTTATTTTTGCTGCTGGATAAACTGCTTTGCTGCTGGGGTTTTTTTCTTAGGATACTGAAAGAAATCTTAGTCTCTTGTTCAAAACAAAACAGAAAAAAACCCCACCTGGTTGCCAAAGCAAACAAAGGTGTGTCTAGTTCCCCCTGTCTTTGTTAAGTTTCACAAAAGCCTCTAACAAAGGGTCAGCTATTACTAGAACATAATTCAGACACATTTCTGTTTCCAACCTAGAAGAGGGAGTGGAAGCTAATAGAAGGGATTTTCAGCTTCGTGCCAGATTAACTGAAATGTTTTTCTCTTCCATATTTTTAATAGTGCTGTAATCCAACGACCCCTTAATACAGTTCTTCATGTTGTTGTGACTCCCAACCATAAAATTATTTTCATTGCTACTTCATAACTGTAATTTTGCTACTGTTATGAATTGCAATGTAAATATCTAATATGCACGTTGTATTTTTATTAATTTTTACTAATAGCGCATGGTTAGTTTTATATTTTGATAAAATTCAAATAACCAGAGAGAGAGAGAAAGAGAAAAGGAAGAAAAGAAAAAAGAGAGATTAAAAAACTGTGAAGAGGACGCCTACCCCCTATGCAGTCAAATACAGCTCACAGCTGTTTTCGAACTGGTTAGGTAGACAGTAATCTGAGCTGAAGATCATGTGCTCACACCGACCTGGGCTTCGAACTGCCAATCTTTCAATTGGTAAGATGTATTGCTGCTGGTGATTAAGCAGCCGTGCTAAAGCCCAACTGCTTAATAAATACTGACTGGCAGCTACTGAAAACAGAAAGCAATAGTATTGTTTTTACCATTTTTTAAAATCCCGAGCTCTGAGGATTACCTGGGAAGGGATCCCACTGGAGCATTGCAGCGCACCCAAATACCTGGGAGTGACTCTGGACCGTGCTCTGACCTACAAGAAGCACTGCCTGAATATCAAGCAAAAAGTGGGTGCTAGAAACAATATCATATGAAAGCTGACTGGCACAACCTGGGGATCACAACCAGATACAGTGAAGACATCTGCCTTTGTGCTGTGCTACTCTGCTGCTGAGTATGCATGCCTAGTATGGAACACATCTCACCACACAGTGGATGTGGCTCTTAATGAGACATGCCGCATTATCATGGGGTGCCTGCGCATCGAGTCCTTCGGGAGATGCTAGCGGGGTACAAATAAAGTTAATAATACACCACTGGAGAAATTACACTGCTTAGCCGGTATTGCACCACCTGACATCCACCGGGAAGTAGCAGCCAATAGTGAAAGGACCAAGGCAGAGACATCTCCAGCTCATCCCCTGTTTGGGTATCAGCCAGCACGTCAACGACTTAAATCTAGAAATAGTTTTCTAAGATCTACAGAGACACTCGCTGGAACACCTCAGCAAGCGAGAGTCCAAAAGTGGCAGGCTCAAACCCAGAACCTCAACCAATGGCTGATACCAAATGAGAGACTCCCCCCTGGGCACACAGAAAACTGGGACTTGGAAGGCGCTGAACAGACTGCGCTCTGGCACCACGAGATGCAGAGCCAACCTCAAGACATGGGGCTACAAAGTGGAATCCACGACATGCGAGTGTGGAGAAGAGCAAACCACTGACCACCTGCTGCAATGCAACCTGAGCCCTGCCACATGCACAATGGAGGACCTCCTTGCGGCAACACCAGAGGCACTCCAAGTGGCCAGATACTGGTCAAAGGACATTTAATCAAATACCAATCTTTTTTGTGTTTTTTCTGTTTGTTTGTTTTGTTCTGTTAGAAATGTAATACAATTGACTGGTTGCCCTGACACGACAAATAAATTTCTAAGCCGAAGAGCCGGCATTGTCCATAGATACCTCCAAGTTCTTGTGGCCAGCATGACTGCATGGAGCGCTGTTACCTTCCCGCCAGAGTGGTACCTATTGATCTACTCACATTTGCATGTTTTCAAACTGCTAGGTTGACAGCAGCTAGGGCTGACAGCAGAAGCTCACGCCACTCCCCGGAATCGAACCTGCAACCTTTCGGTCAACAAGCTCAGCAGCTTAGCGCTTTAACCCTCTGCGCCACCGGGGGCTCCATTAACATTTCTTAAACAGAGGGTGCCCCCAGGCAACAAAGGCCAGGCGACTTCTATGCAGATATTCTCACTGATTGACTTTGCAAACTTTGCTAACCAGAAGCACTCCAAGTGGCCAGATACTGGTCAAAGGACCTTTAATCAACTACCAAACTCACAAATTTTGTATTTTGTCTGTTTGTCTGCTTTGTTCTGTTAGAAATGTAATATAATTGACTGGTTGCCTGACACGACAAATAAATAAACCATTTTTTAAAAAAAAATTCTAATCAATCAATTCTTTGGTCCTTCTAAGTTCATTTTATTATGTCTGTTGATCATGCATAGCTTGCCCTGCAGCGTATTCAACCTACTAGAAATGTATTGCAGAAATTAAATAATGCTGTTCTTGCCCTTATTCTTCCTTCTTTTAGGAAGAAGAAAAGAAGAAGGCGAAAGAAGAGGAGGAACAGCGGGAGTATGAGGAATACCTGAAGCTGAAGGAGAGCTTTGTGGTGGAAGAGGAAGGGGTGGATGAAGCCATGACGGAAGAGGAGGTAGGATTCGCTATGCTGACCTATCGGGACTGGAACAACAGTTTGGATAAGAGATACTTAACCTGTGTTTGCAATGAATTCATGAGACCCAGAGACCTTGATGAACAACCGTATTTTCACTTGGCGTTGCAAGGAAACGGGTTTTGGCACAAATCAGGTCTCCAAAAGGAGGGAATTCCACAATTGGGTGACCCTGTGATACCATATATACTTGAGTATAAGCCGACCCAAATATAAGCCGAGGCACCTCATTTTACCCCCAAAAACCTGGTACAACTTATTGACTCGAGTATAAGCCGAGGATGGGAAATGTAGCAGCTACTGGTCAATTTCAAAATCAAAATAGATACCAATAAAATGACATTGAGGCATCAGGAGTTTAAATGTTTTTGAGTACATTTTTAAATTTACATAAAACTGTAATTTAAAGAAAAGACTGTCCAACTCTAATGATGCTAACCTCCTTCAGTGTAAATGTGCTTACGAATCCTTCCAAATCTTTGACCATAATTTTTCCACTGACCACAACTTCTTTAATTCTGCTTTGAATCAGCTTCTGCTTCAGGAATATATGGGCCTAAGAAAGTACTAGAAACTCTCCGTGTTCGGCGCCCACGCTCTGCGGAGCCCTAGTTATTCTGTGGACAGCGCTGCTGAATCATTGAACAAAAGGCATAACTTTAGCCAAGTCCTCTTTTATGTTGATCATTGCAGCTCATTAATATTGCAGGCTAAATTTTGCCCTTGGGGCGAGGCGAGCAAACTGTACTGGAAGGCAGGCTGCGAGTGGGTTTCATCAGTAAAAGGAGTGAAGCACGGCCACGAAGACCTGGAAATCCTCCAAGGTCGCTTGATGGAAATGCTGTCTTCTCGGCCTAAATCAAAGTGCATTTACTTCCCACCTTTTCATTGCATGTGTATCGGTCAAATTATGGTCCTTTTCTCTGGAAGAATTTCATCAGAGGACATGTTTTTTCTCTTACTTCTCATTCTAAAAGTCCATAAAATGGGATATTTAATACCCAAACTCTAAGCATCCAAAAAGTGAAAGGGTTTTAACACTTAGGATGATCCTATCCTCAATTGGAAAGAAGTGACGAGCGGAGTGTTGTCAGTAGGGTTCCATTCTGAGCCCGGTCCTGTTCAACATCTTGATTAATGACTTAGATGAAGGGTTAGAAGGCAGGATCATCAAGTTTGCAGATGGGACCAAATTGGGAGGGAGAGCCAATACTCCAGAGGACAGGAGCAGGATTCAAAATGATCTTGACAGATTAGAGAGATGGGCCAAAACTAACAAAATGAAGTTCAACAGGACAAATGCAAGATACTCCACTTAGGCAGAAAAAACGAAATGCAAAGATACAGAATGGGGGACAATGCCTGGCTCGAGAGCAGTACGTGTGAAAAAGATCTTGGAGTCCTCGTGGAAAACAAGTTAAACATGAGTCAACAATGTGATGTGGCGGCAAAAAAAGCCAATGGGATTTTGGCCTGCATCAATAGGAGCATAGTGTCTAGATCCAGGGAAGTCATGCTACCCCTCTGGTTAGACCACACCTGGAATATTGTGTCCAATTCTGGGCACCACAATTGAAGAGAGTTATTGACAAGCTGGAATGTGTCCAGAGGAGGGCGACTAAAATGATCAAGGGTCTGGAGAACAAGCCCTATGAGGAGCGGCTTAAGGAGCTGGGCATGTTTAGCCTGAAGAAGAGAAGGCTGGGAGGAGATATGATAGCCAGTTCTTTGAGGTTTTGTTGTGTTGTGCGAATTTTTTTGAGTCAGTATGTCCATATTTATTATGCCCCTTACCTTTATCATCCACCACTCCACTGTGGATATTTCCTTAGTTCTCCATATTTTGGCTAGAATCATTCTCGCAGCTGATATTAGGTAAAAAAAAAAAATCTTATCAATGTTCTTTTCCATTTTGAAATCTACTATCCCCAATAGCAATGTTTCTGATTTTGGGTTAAATTTTATGTTTAAGATCTGCTCTATCTTCTTATGTATTTGGTGCCAAAAGTTTTTTATTTTCCTGCATTTCCATAAATAAATGTAGGCGCCCTTGGTGGCGCAGTGGGTTAAATTGCTGAGCTGCTAAACTTGTTGACCAAAAGGTCAAAGGTTCGAATCCGGGGAGTGGTATGAGCTTCTGCTGTCAGCCCCAGCTTCTGCCAACCTAACAGCTGTTGCAACTCAGGGTAGTTTCCACCTTGCTCCTGACACCACCACACCAAACCTGTAGGTTTTGTAGTTTATTGAGAAAAAGGCAAAATCAAAACAGAGCATATGAAATGCATAAAATCCATAGGCAGGTCAAAGGCTTAAATGCAAAGACACAGTTCCCAAGATCCAAAGAAAAAAAACATGAAGCATAATCCTTTAGCAATGGTCAAACAAGAGTCCATAGAACACAGTTGAAAACAAGGCCCAAATCCCAGACTCAGGAAGCCAGAAGAGTGCTGCTAAAAGCCGAAGTTAATCCGCAGAAGTTTGCATGAAAAGAGCTACATTGGACTGACAGCCCCTGCTTGTCAGCTACAAGGCTAAATACCCTTGGCTTGGCTTCTAGCTTGCTGACCAAGTGAGTGCTTCTCCAGAGCCTTAATTGCAGACGATCTTGCCTGCTCATTAATTCATTATCTTCAAGGCTATGTAACCCCTTATCTTGGTCCACCTGGACCAGATCACTGTGGGAAGGCAAAGACGTCTCCACCTGGCCGTGTGGGAATTCACTCTCATTATCAGTCTCACTAACATTCTTTACCCCTGGGAACTGACTTACTGTTTCCCCTTCAGCAACCCCACCGTCGGGCCTGTCTGAAGCATGTACAGAAATCTGTAACCCATCATCCTCATCCTGTAGGAATTCTGGGTCACAGAGCTCAGCTTCAGACTCAGAGTCAAGCTGAGTCACAACAACAGCTCAAAAACATGCAAATGTGAGTAGATCAATAGGTACTGCTCCAGCGGGAAGGTCGTGTTGCTCCATGCAGTCATGCTGGCCACATGATCTTGGAAGTGTCTACGGACAACAGGACTTATTGGACTTAGAAATTGGACTTAGAAATTGGACACAACTGGACTTAATGTCAGGGGAAAACCTTTATATTTACCTTTGAAATGTAATGTATTTTCATGTCTTTGAGTCAGATTAGAGACTGATCTTGTGCCATATAGTGCTTGGAAAGCTTTCTAAGCCACTTCAATAAAAATCCAATGGGTGAACTGTTGGACATTGCTCCAAAAATGTGGCATGTATCTTACTCCTTTCTATAGGCTTACAAACAGAGCAGGAGTTTGCCATTTCCTTTATCAGAATTTAAAAATTAATTTCTTATACACACATCTTCTTTCTACTAATCATGGTTTCTCTTTCTCTGCCCAGTCCCGAAGCTTTCTTACGGATCTTCTTGACTACATCAAGGTATGTTCATCTCTCTTATTCCACTCTTTGCCTTCGAAGAAATGAATATTTGTTTCTTGTCCTCCAGGTCTATGCTTTTGTTTTATTTTATGTAATTGTTGTTTTGGGCTTGGCCTCATGTAAGCCGCACCGAGTCCCCGTCGGGGAGATGGAGCGGGGTACAAATAAAGTTTATTATTCTTATTATTAAAGCATCTTGCTTTGCTATAAATAAGTGTTTCTCAACCTGGGGGCCATGACCCCTGGAGGGAGTCACACAGGGGGCGACAGAGGGGTCGCAAAAGACCATCAGAAAACGCAGTATTTTCTATCGGTCAAGTTTGGCCCAATTCTATCATTGGTGGGGTTCAGAATGCTCTTTGATTCTAGGCAAACTATAGATCCCAGCAACTACAACTGCAAAATGTCAAGGTCTGTTTTCCCCAAACTCCACCAGTGTTCACATTTGGGCATACTGAGTTTTTATACCACATTTGGTCCAGATCTATCATTGTTTGAGTCCACAGTGATTTCTGGATGTAGGTGAACTGGATGTGGGTGAAACATCAGAAGAGATTGCTTCTGGAACATGGCCATACAGCCTGGAAAACTCACAGCAACCCAGTGATTTCAGCCATGAAAGCCTTCGACAACACATTTTTGCAGTATAATAAACTTATCCCATGTTTTTAGATAGAACCAATTAGGAAATGACACTTATAACACAGGAAGAACAATCACGTTACCTAGTGTTAATTGTCACCAGGTTTATCTTGATTTATATCGCATTGCTGCCTACATCCAGATGTGGGATTACAACTCTTTATTCCAGCACCATGTATACAAACTGATATATCCCTATCTGGTGACAATTGCAGTATGTAACACGATTGGCCTGTTGGTCACCATTTTTTATCTTATAGAGAGAGTTCACTGTCTTTCCTTAAAAGATGATTTGCGACACAACCCTGCACTGTTTAGGATTAAAAGGTGTTTTTCTTTTCCAAACTGCAAAGTGGATTTCCATCCTTCTCCTGGCAGTTTCCAGGGGCAGAAAATGGGCCTCTCTACTTGCTAAACTTGCACACACACACACCCAAAATGAGCTGTAAATCAAGTACTGACGGTTAAGTCATACTAGCGGCACGTACCAAGCATCCATCTTGGAAACGAGTCTCAGTAGGACACCCCATAAATAATTAAGCACTGGCTTCCAGATTTGAGAGATTATTTGATGTCTGTCAATGGCACCTTGAGAAGGTGTTGGTTGGAACTAATTTAGTTAATTCCCATGTTTTTAAAAAGCTATTCAACTTTCTTAGACTTTGTCAATTGCCTTTGAGTATTTTTTTTTTACCCTAGTTCCTATAAGAACACACAGCCAAAGCAGGCTGTATGCTTAAATTACAACATTCTTGACAACCTGGACACAGCATTTTATTTGAGAACACAGAAATGCTGGACCACTCCAACAACCACCATGTCAGACTACACAGAGAAGCCACTGAAATCCACAAGAAGCATGTGGACAATTTCAACAGAAAGGAGGAAACCATGAAAATGAACAAAATCTGGATACCAGTATTAAAAAACTCAAAAATTAAAACAGCAAAACAACAGAGAGGAAACAAACAAGGACATCTAATCACCTCTCAACAAAAGATTGCTCCAGGCACTGCCAGGCACATCAAACACTACTCAAGGTGATCAGGTTGAGAAACACTGTTGTAAACATTTCCTTAACTTAAAGAGCCATTGTCTCTGATAATGTAAACACGTTATTTTTCCCCAAAGTTCAACAGTTAATCATTGTCAGTTCTCATCAATGTCAGCAGTTCAGCAACTTTTAATTATAGTCCATGAATTCTTTACCTTCTTCTTGTAGTTTTCAAGGCTTGATTCTTAGGATGGTATTTCTACACTATATAGACCCCAACTATGCATTTTTCCTACTATTCCATTCAAACTATACATCATATATTTTATGCATCACAAGTACAGTATAGTATGGCACCCACACCCTTTGGGAGATACATTTCCGAACTCCACATACCACATACCAAAACTATACATAACATTATTGAAATGAAGGACTTCTAGCGCAAGAATACCATAAAGTCACACAGTAGGATTAAGAAAATGCCTTGTAAAATTACAACTCCCATGATTCCATAGCATGAAGCCATGCCTGTTTAAATTGTGTCAAGCTGCACCAATTCTTTGTAGCTGCACCCTAAATTAAGATGCCAGGATCCTTGGTCTCAGGTGTAGTTGTGCACAAGGGAGTCCTGCAAATTTCAGTCACATTTGTCCCCATGTGTGGCTAATAGGGCGCAATAATTGGTTCCTCCCATTAAGTCATTGCTTTGTGCCTCGAACCCTTCCTAAACCACCCTTGACTCTTGTTGGGATTCTAGCAACAAGGCAAATTTGATGTGGCAAGTGCCAAAGCCTAATTGTTCTGTAACCTCTATCATACATCTTATCAATCTAGTAATTCAGTTACTTTACAAGCCAATATGTAATGGCGCAATTCAAGTGTCAAACAACGAAGCTTCAGAAAGTGTTTTCTTGGATAGCTTGTTATGACCCTTGTCTCTTCTCTGCAGAGTGCCAAGGTGGTTCTGTTGGAAGACCTGGCTTCCTACCTGGGAATAAGGACACAGGTATGTAGCATTTGCAAGCGGAAGAACGCATAATTTGTCAGGCACTGTCAAAGGCTAAAGGCCTTGTAAAACTATAACTTCTATGATTCTACAGCATTGATTCTCAACCTGTGGGTCCCCAGATGTTTTGGCCTTCAACTCCCAGAAATCCCAACAGCTGGTAAACTGGCTGGGATTTCTGGGAGTTGAGGCCAATACACCTGGGGATCCACAGGTTGAGAACCACTGGTCTACAGTATTGAGCTAAGGCAGTGTTGTCAAACTGCGTCGATTTTTCAGTGTAGATGTGCCAAAAGTTCTAAAATCCAGATAATACAATCTAACCCAAGCATGGGCAAACTTGGGCCCTCCAAGTATTTTGGACTTCAATTCCCACAATTCCTAATAGTCAGTTGGGAATTGTGGGAGTTGAAATCCAAAACACATGCCTTCTCTAGGCTTTCCTGGAGATGGCATTGTGGATTTTAAAATCCATTCTTCTTTTTTTTAATGCTGTGAGCCGCTTGGCATCTCGATCAAGAGAAAAGCAGGATGTAAATAAATATAAATATAATAATAGTACAGGTTATGTCACATGTTGTAATTCATAGGGAAAATGTAGCTAAATGTACCTTTATTTACAAAGCATGCCTCCAGAACATGGCCATATAGCCCCAAAAAACCTACAACAACCCAGTGATTCCAGCCATGAAAGCCTTCGACAATACATTCATTGCAAAGATTTACAAAACTTCCAGGAAAATAATTACAAGAAAATATAAATATATGATATATATAATACAATATTGCATAGTATAACATAACATATGAGGGGGTTGTCGAAGGCCTTCATGGCCGGAATCACTGGGTTGTTGTAGGTTTTTTTGGGCTATATGGCCATGTTCTAGAGGCATTCTCTCCTGATGTTCTGCCTGCATCAGCATCTCATACTCTGAGGATGCTGGCCATAGATGCAGGCAAAACATCAGGAGAGAATGCCTCTAGAACATGGCCATATAGCCCAAAAAAACCTACAACAACCCATATGAGCGGGGGTGGGGGTTAGTTTTTTTTCCTTTCTGTGTAAACTTTTGGGACATTCTGTGATGAGGATGATGACAATGTTTTCATCTATTGGAAGGCTCTCTGCTTGTTTTGCTATATTTTAAAACCAATTGAAGGAAATTGGGGACTTTTGGGAGTCTAGTGGGATTTCAGAGGCATATATATATATATATCTCCTGTCCTTCTCAACCTCCAAATAGGAACTCAGGATGGCTTCCAACAGTCAACTATTCAATGGCAACACAATATAATAACATAACATAAAATACAATTAGCATAGATTAAAAACAGTTATAAATATATTGTCGAAGGCTTTCATGGCCGGAATCACTGGGTTGTTGTAGGTTTTTTCGGGCTATATGGCCATGTTCTAGAGGCATTTCTCCTGACGTTTCGCCTGCATCTATGGCGAGCATCCTCGGAGGTAGTAACAACCCAGTTATTTATTTATTTATTTATTTATTTGATGCACTTATTAACCGCCATCATCCAAATCAGTCTATTACGGTCCACTAAAACCTTATCTTCACCAGTAAATCAGTCTATTCTGCAATGCCTGATCCCACAGCCAGGATTTGAGTTTCTTCCAGAAGATCAGGTAGGATGGGTCAGATCTAACCTCATTAGGGAGGGAGTTCCACAGCCTAGGGGCCACCACAGAGAAGGCCCTGTCTCTCGTTCCCACCAAATGCAACTGCGATGGTGGTGAGACTGAGAGCAGGGCCTCGCCATACAATCTTAAAGTCCTTGGTGGTACGTAGAGGGAGATATGTTCAGTCAGACAGGTAAACTGGGCAGGAACCATTTAGAGCTTTATAGGTTAAGACCAGCACTTTGAATTGTGCCCAGAAGCTAATAGGCGGCCTGCAAGCCATACAGTGCAAACCCATGTTGTAGACCAGTGGTTCTCAACCTGGGGTCCCCAGATGTTTCTGGCCTATAACTCCCAGAAATCCCAGCCAGATTTCTGGGAGTTGAAGGCCAAAACATCTGGGGACCACAGGTTGAGAGCCACTATTGTAGACAATCATTTATCTAAATGGGCCAGTCCTTTGTGACTCTGTGTAACACAGGTTATTCTTGGCTGGCTTTTCTGCACCTTGAATGCCTCCCAAAATATACGCTCCGTGGGCCTTTGTCGAAATGCTAGCATGCTTGTCTACAAACATGCCAGCGCACCTGGAAGCATGAAGTATGTTGCCTACTTGATTTGTTTTTCCTCAACAGGATGCAATTAATAGAGTACAAGACCTGATGGCAGATGGGACGCTCACAGGTAACAGCAAAAACACGATGGGGCTGGATCGCCTTGTTTTAAATCGAAACAGATGTCTTGAAGCACCTGAACATCAACTCTGGGTTATTTTGGGTTTCATTCAGGTGTTGTTTCGCTTTGCAGCTCAGCAGATATCACTGTTTTGGGTGGAAATGACTACAGGTGGAAATCCTGGTTGACAGAAAGGACACTTGCTAGACTACAGTTAATGTGTTACATGAGTGTAATGCTTCCAGCAAAGGTGAGGCAGCAGGACGGGAAAGGCTGCCAATGAAGCAAGCGGGAAGTAAAGTGCTAGAGAAATAGGTTTCTCAAATCTTGCTCCTGGGAAAAGTTAAAAAATTTTTTTATTTATTTATCGTGTCATCAGCACCCAGACATTTGTATTATATTTTTAACAAAAACAAACAAATAGACAAAACACATAATTTGCAAGCTTGGTGGTTGATTAAATGTCCTTTGACCAGTATCTGGCCATTTGGAGTGCCTCTGGTGATGCCGCAAGAAGGTCCTCCATTATGCATGTGGCAGGGCTCAGGGTGCATTGCAGCAGGTGGTCTGTGGTTTGCTCTTCTCCACACTCGCATGTTGTGGATTCCACTTCGTAGCCCCATTTCTGAAGGTTGGCTCTGCCTCTCGTGGTGCCAGAGCGCAGTCTGTTCAGCACCTTCCAAATCACCCAGTCTTCTGTGTGCCCGAGGGGGAGTCTCTCATTTGGTATCAGCCATTGGTTGAGGTTCTGGGTTTGAGCCTGCCACTTTTGGGCTATCGCTTGCTGGTGTGTTTCAGCGAGTGTCTCTGTAGATCTTAGAAAACTATTTCTTGATTTAAGTCGTTGACGTGCTGGCTGATACCCAAACAAGGGATGGACTGGAGATGTCTCTGCCTTGGTCCTTTCACTATTGGCTGCTACTTCCCGGCAGATACCTGCTAGACAGTGTAATTTCTCCAGTGGTGTAGGGCGCAGACACCCCGTGATAATGCGGCATATCTCATTAAGAGCCACATTCACTGTTTTAGTGTGGTGAGATGTGTTCCACACTGGGCATGCATACTCAGCAGCAGAGTAGCATAGCGCAAGGGCAGATGTCTTCACTGTGTCTGGTTGTGATCCCCAGGTTGTGCCAGTCAGCTTTCGTATGATATTGTTTCTAGCACCCACTTTTTTCTTGATGTTCAGGCAGTGCTTCTTGTAGGTCAGAGCACTGTCCAGAGTGACTCCCAGGTATTTGGGTGCGCTGCAATGCTCCAGTGGGATTCCTTCCCAGGTCATCCTCAGAGCTCAGGATGCTTGTCTGTTCTTGAGATGAAAAGCACATGTCTGTGTTTTAGATGGGTTAGGGATCAGCTGGTTTTCCCTGTAATAGGCAGTAAGATCACCTAGAGCTTCGGAGAGAGAGAAAAAAGGATATAGTTCACCAAATGATTTTAGCCACCTATATTGGGAGAAATATTGATCCCTCTCTATTCTGCTTTGGTCAGACGTCACCAGGAATAACAGAATCCAGCTCTAGGATTCTGTTCTCTAAACCACACACACATAGAACCACTTTGCCAGAGAACTTTGTGATAGGTTCACCCTCTGGTACCCATCAATTGGAAACGACTCGAAGGCACACAAGAATAAAAGGAGACGAAATCAGTGTCACGCTGTGCAGATTTTAGGTGATGAATCACCAGCATTGATATTTGGTGGGGACAGCCTTCATTCTTCCTCTCCTTATAGTCTTTACCAGCTGGCAAACCTCAACTGGCAATGATGGAGTGATGCTGGCAAACCCGCCAAGTAGGAATATAAGCCTCTTCCGCCTATTAATTAGTTGGGCACTTAAAATCACATTTAAAGCCCTAATGGTGCCCATTATTCAATTAGAGGTTGAAGGCCTGGCATTCCAGCCCAAACCGTGGAGCCAGGCTGACGAGAAAGTTCTAATTAGGCAATTAGACGAGTGAAGCGCAAGCCGCGGCGTTTTTAATCCCGGCCTGGCCTTTGTCTCTAGGTGTCATCGACGACCGAGGCAAGTTCATCTACATCACGGCAGAGGAGATGAGCGCCATGGCCGACTTCATTCGCCGGAGGGGCCGCGTCTCCATTACGGAACTGGCCCAGCACAGCAATGCCCTCATCAACCTGGAGCCGGAGCCCAGGGCACTCCTGACCAAAGCGGTGGCGTGAATTGCCTCTCTGCAAGGCGGGAGGAAATAAAAGCCTCACTGGGCAAAATAGGCAAGACTGTGTTTTTCTCTGCGCACCTAAATTTTGTATTTATCTATATAAATAAAAATGTTATGTTTGTTTGTAGGATTAACAGAACTCAAAAACCAATGGACGAATTAACACCAAATTTGGACACTATACACCTAACAGACCAACGAGTGACCATCACTCATAAACCACCACCACACACACACACACACACACACACACACACACCCAAAAAAACAGTGGAAAGGACTTAACAACCCCCAAAAAGCTAAATGACGGAAAAAGAAAAAGGAAGGGGAGAGGAAAGGAAAGAAAGAAAAGAGAAAGAAAGGAAAGAAAGAAAGGAAAGAAGACAGAAACAGAAGAAGGAAGAAGAAGAAGAAGAAGAAAGGAAGAAAGAAAAGAAAGAAAGAAAGAGAAAAGAAAGAAAAAGAAAGAAAGAAAGAAAGAAAGAGGAGGAAGGAAGGAAGAAGGAAGGAAGGAAGGAAGAGAGAAAGGGAAGGAAGAAGGAAAAGGGAGGAAGAAGGAAGAGGAGGAAGGAAGAAAGGAAAAGGAAAAAGGGAAGGAAGGAAAGAGGGAGCGAAGGAAGGAGAGAAAGAGAGAGGAAAGAAAGAAGAAAGAGAGAAGGAAACATGGAAGCAAAGAGAGAAGGAAGGAAAGAGGTAGAGAAGGAAGGAAGGAGAGAAAGAGGGAGGAAAAGAAAACGGGAGGGGGGAAGGAAAGAGGTAGAGAAGGAAGGAGAGAAGGAGAAAAGGAAAGGAAAGAGAAAAGAGGGAAGGAAAGACAAGGGAGATGGAAGCAAAAAAAACAAAGGAAGGAAAGAGGTAGAGAAGGAAGGAAGGAGAGAAGGAAATGAAAAGAAGGCAAGGGAGTGAAGGAAGGAGAGAAAGAGGGAGGGAAGGAAGGAAAGACAAGGAAGGATGAAAACAAAAAAAGCGAAGGAAAGAGGTAGAGAAGGAAGAAAGGAGAGAAAGGGGGGAGAAAAAAAAAAAAGAAAAAGAAAGAAGGAAAAGAAAAAAGGGAGGAAGGAAAGAGGTGGAGAAGGAAGGAGAGAAGGAAAGAGAGAAGGAAATGGGTCTCCCCAGACCACCAAGAACTTGCCACCATTTATTATGATCCACATAGTCAAAAGCTTTAGAATCTATATAAATAAACATGTTATGTTCGTTTGTGGGATTAACATAATTCAAAAACCACTGGGCAAATTACCACCAATTTTGGCCACAAGCCACCTACTAACCCAAAGAGTGACCATCACTAAAAAAATGATTTTGTCATTTGGGAGTTGTAGTTGCTGGGATTTATAGTTCACCTAAAATCAAAGAGCATCAAATTCCACCAATGATGGAATTGGACCAAGTGTGGCACACAGGACTCCCGTGACCAACATGGGCATTGATGGGTATTAACCTTGAGTTTGGGAGTTGTAGTTCACCTACATCCAGAGAGCACTGTGGACTCAAACAATGAAAGATCTAGTCCAAACTTGGCATGAATATTCCATATGCCCAAATACGCACATAGATGGACTTTGGGGAAAGTAGACCTTGACAGTTGTAGTTACTGGGATTTATAGTTCACCTACAATCAAAGAGCATTCTGAACTCCGCCAGTGATGAAATTGATCCAAACATGGCACACAGGACTCCCATAACCTACAGAAAATACTTAAGGCCACCCAGTCCAACTCCCTTCACCAGGGCAAGAAAACGTAATAAAAGCCCTCCTGACAAAGAGCCATCCAGCCATAGATATAGATAGATAAATATGATTCGCACACACACACACAGATATAGTATCAAAGATTTGAAAAGGACCCCTAAAGAAGGACGATTATATGTTGCTTGTTCCAGAGTAGGCAAACCAGACAATCTCCACATCAACACTGACAAAGAAACAGCAAGAAATACCGTTTACCCACAAGCACAAAGACATTACATATATTAGAAACCAACACTTTCTCGTTACTTCATTTTCCAGATCACCAGACGGGCCACAGCAATGTGTGGCAGGGGAAGGCTAGTTTACAAGACTTCAGAAATCTTTCGTGGTTAAAAACGGTCCTCTGTGTGATCAAACGGAAACACTAAAATATCCGAGGGACCGTTTTTGGCACGGCACAGTTGTGTCACCATGTTTCCATCCTATGAAATAGGAGCTCCCAGTGGTGCTATGGGTTAAACCCTTGTGCTGGCAGGACTGCTGACGGAAAGGTTGCCAGTTCAAATCCGGGGAGCAAAGTGAGCTCCCACCTGGCAGCTCCAGCTTCCCATGCGGTGACATGAGAGAAGCCTCCCACAGGATGCACTGGAGAATTAATATAGTTTGATCCTGCTTTAATCGGCATGGTTCAGTGCTGTGGAGGAGCGCAGTGGGTTAAACCCTTGTGCCGGCAGGACTGACAGGTTGCAGGTTTGAATCTGGGGAGAGCGCAGATGAGCTTCCTCTGTCAGCTCCAGCTCCCCATGCAAGGACATGAGAGAAGCCTCCCACAGGATGGTAAAACATCCGGGTGTCCCCTGGGCAACGTCCTTGCATACAGCCAATTCCCTCACACCAGAAGCAACTTGCAGTTTCTCAAGTCACTCCTGACACAAAAAATAAATCCTACAACTCCCAGAAATCCCAGCTCTTATGATTTCTGGGAGTTGAAGGTCAAAACATCTAGGACCCAAGGGTTGAGAACCAGTGGATTAAAGTAAACCAAAGGGAGAAACTGGAACAAAGAGAGAAACTGGGCTATTTTAATAGCAGGTGAAAAAGTCCGCCATCAGAGGAAAAGCACAATCAATGCACCTTTGAGCGGAGGGAGGGAAATAGGCGAGCAAGGCGAGAGGGATAGAATCTGGGCACTGGGGGAGAAAAGGCTTTTGGTGGCAAAGGGTCCAAGGGAAAAGGGCTTTTGGTGGCAAAGGAGATGGGGAGAAGAAGTAAAGCTTGGAAGGGAAGGAGGGAACTGCAGAGACCCTTAGTATGCTTTGCGGAGCCCCAAGGACTCCATGGAGCACACTTTGAAAACCGCTGATCTAAAGGAAGACCACAAGCAATGTATAAACCATTCACCTGCTGTTCCACCCTGCCCGCCAACTTGCTTGGATTTTGCAAAGGAGAAAATCCGCAGATTTTGGTATCAATGGAGAGCCTGAGAACCAAACCCAGTGGATACGGAGGTAGATGCAACTGGCTATTTAGCTAATTAACCTCAGAAGCGACTTGCAGTTTCTCAAGCCACTCCTGACACAAAAAAAAGGAAACTGAAAGCCAAAACCAAGGTTACAACAACATCTGTTATAGAACACCAATATGCTGACGACAACGTTGTCTATGCGCATTCTGAAGAAGATCTACAAGCCACTCTAAACACCTTCACAGAAGCATACGAGAAGCTTGGCCTGTCATTGAACATCGAGAAAACCAAAGTGCTCTTCCAGCAGTCACCAGCCAATCCCTCTCCAACGCCAGAAATACAGCTTAATGGTGTAACATTAGAAAATGTGGACCATTTCCACTCCCTTGGCAGCCACTTCTCCACAAAAGTCAACATTGACACTGAAATATGACACCGCCTGAGCTCTGTGAATGCAGCATTTTTCCGAATGAAGCAGAGAGTGTTTGAGGACCGGGACATCCGTAGGGAGACCAAGGTGCTTGTTTATAAAGCTGTTATCCTCCCAACCCTGCTATATGCCTGCGAAACGTGGACTGTCTACAGACGTCACATGCAACTCTTAGAACGATTCCATCAGCGTTGCCTCTGGAAAATCCTGCCAATATCTTGGGAAGACAACTGGAGAGACCAAGGTGCTAGTTTATAAAGCTATTGTCCTCCTAGCCTGCAAAATGTGGACTGTCTACAGACGTCATACTCAACTCCTAGAATGATTCCATCAGCGCTGCCTCCAAAAATTCCTCCAGATCCCTTGGGAAGATGGGTGGACAAATGTCAGTGTGCTGGAAGAAGCAGAGACCGCCAGCACTGAAGCGATGGTCTTTTGCGATCAACTCCGCTGGACCGGCCACATTGTTCAGATGCCCGACCACCGTCTCCCAAAGCAGTTGCTCTATTCCAAACTCAAGAACGGAAAATGGAATGTTGGAGGACAGGAAAAGAGATTTAAAGATGGGCTCAAAACCAACCTTAAAAACTCTGGCATAGACACTGAGAACTGGGAAGCCCTGGCCTTGAGGTCAGCTGTGACCAGCAGTGCTGTAGAATTTGAAGAGGCACAAATGGAGGGCGAAAGAGAGAAACGTGCCAAGAGGAAGGCGCATCAAGCCAACCCCGACCGGGACCGCCTTCCACCTGGAAACCAATCTCACTGCGGGAGAAGATGCAGATCAAGAATAGGGCTCCAGAGTCACCTGTGGAACCACCATAGGTCTTGGATGACAATCCTACTTGGACTACGAGGAATCGCCTAAGTAAGTAAGTAAGTAAGGATGCAACTGGCCCTACAGATAGGGTTGGGCTGCCTCTCCCATCAGCTCTACCCAGCATAGCCAACATGAGGAAGAACTTCCTGACTGTGAGAGCCGTTCAGCAGTGGAACTCTCTGCCCCGGAGTGTGGTGGAGGCTCCTTCTTTGGAAGCTTTTAAACAGAGGCTGGATGGCCATCTGTCAGGGGTGATTTGAGTGCAATATTCCTGCTTCTTGGCAGAATGGGGTTGGACTGGATGGCCCAGTAGGTCTCTTCCAACTCTTTGATTCTATGATTCTAAGGGTGCAGAATGCTGTGAGTTCCATTATCCATTCTGCTTCCATTATCAACAGAGGTTCTGTGGCTGCTATGGCTGCCCCTCATACAGGCGCACTGCTTGCATGACGTATGAGGAAGGCATGTAACCAGTTATGTCGGGAAAGATAATTGCGCCGAGTGGCTCACAGTTGCCCAAGGCAAGTGGGGAGGATGGACGGGGCTGAAGAATGCAGCTGTAACTGATGTGGAACTACAGTTAGGGCTTCGCAGGAGGAGTAGGGCTGGAACGCATGGGGCAGAGCTGAGGCCAAAGAGAAGCCCCTCCAATGCCTAAACATGCTCTGCACAGGGGCAAACAACCAAGATTGTTTTCAAGGCCAAAATGAAGCCATGACATGGGTGTCTAGAGCATCATTGTCATGCCAGGCCTATGATGATGCCATGGATATCATGTGTGCCTAGCATATCACTGTCACCTTGAGCCCAAAAGTCAGCTATGGCTAACATCTGGCTAAATGAAACAATGGCTAAGGTGTGCGCCTGGCACATCTTTCATCAAGTCAAACTCAAAATGAAATTTGTGCTTAGGCGATCCCTCGTAGCCCGAGGATGATGGTCCTCCAAGTCCGGTGTCTTGGTGGTGGATTTGTAGGTGGTTGTGGAGCCCTATTCTTGAGCCACATGTTCTCCCGCAGTGAGAACATCAGTTTCCATGTGGAAGGAGGTCCTGGTCAGGGTTGGCTTGACGTGCCTTCCTCTTGACACGTTTCTCCATTTCGCCCTCCATTTATACCTCTTCTAATTCTGCAGCACTGCTGGTCACAGCTGACCTCCAGTTAAAGTGCTCAAGGGCCAGGTCTTCCCAGTTCTGGATGTCTATGCCACACTTTTAAAGGTTGGCTTTAAGCCCACCTTTAAATCTCTTTCCCTGTACACCAGTGGTTCTCACCCTGGGGTCCCCAGATGTTTTTGGCCTACAACTCCCAGAAATCCCAGCCAGTTTACCAGCTGTTATGATTTCTGGGAGTTGAAGGCCAAAAGCATCTGGGGACCCCAGGGTGAGAACTACTGGTCTAGACCAATATTATGTTTCCCATTCTTGAGTTGGGAATAGAGTAACTGCTTTAGGAGACAGTGATCGGGCGTTCGGACAACATGGCCAGTCCAGCAGAGTTGATGGCGCAGGAGCATCGCTTCAATGCTGATGGTCTTTGCTTCTTCCAACATGCTGACATTTGTCCACCTGTCTTCCCAAGAGATATGCAAGATTTTTCAGGGGCAGCGCTGATGGAATCATTCTAGGAGTTGAGTATGACGTCTGTAGACAGTCCACGTTTTGCAGGCATTCAAACAGGGTTGGGAGGACAATCGCTTTATAAACAAGCACCTTGGTCTCCCTATGGATGTCCCAGTCCTCAAACACTCTCTGCTTCATTCACTTTGGTTTTCTCAATGTTCAATGACAGGCCGAGCTTCTCGTATGCTTCTGCGAAGGTGTTTAGAGTGGCTTGTAGGTCTTCTTCTGAAAGCGCACAGGCTATGTTATCATCAGCATATTGGAGTTCTATACCAGATGTTGCGACCTTGGTTTTGTCTTTCAGTCTGCTGAAAGCCAAAGCCATCTGTCCGATAGATGATTTCCACCCGTCTTCCCAAGAGATATGCAAGATTTTTCGGAGGCAGCGCTGATGGAATCATTCTAGGAGTTGAGTGTGACGTCTGTAGACAGTCCATGTTTCGCAGGTGTATAACAGGGTTGGGAGGACAATAGCTTTATAAACAAGCACCTTGGTCTCCCTACGGATGTCCCYGTCCTCAAACACTCTCTGCTTCATTCGGAAAGAAAGCTGCACTCGCAGAGCTRAGGCAGTGTTGTATTTCYGTGTCAATGTTTACTTTGGTGGAGAGGTGGCTGCCAAGGTAGCGGAAACGGTCAACATTTTCTAATGTTACAKTATTTATGTTACCGTATTGTAATGCACTTTTGCACTTGGCCTTATGTAAGCCYCCCCGAGTCCCCCTTGGGGAGATGGTGGCAGGGTATAAATAAAGATGATGATGATGATGATGATGATMATMATMATTATTATTATTATTATTATTATTATTATGCTGTATTTCTGGCATTGGAGAGGGATTGGCTGGTGACTGCTGGAACAACGCTTTGGTTTTCTCAATGTGCAATGACAGGCTGAGCTTCTCGTATGCTTCTGCGAAGGTGTTTAGAGTGGCTTGTAGGTCTTCTTCTGAAAGTGCACAGGCTATGTTATCATCAGCATATTTGAGTTCTATACCAGATGTTGCGACCTTGAGGATGCTTGCCATAGATGCAGGCGAAACGTCAGGAGAGAATGCCTCTAGACCATGGCCATATAGCCCGAAAAAACCTACAACAACCCAATTGGACCTTGGTTTTGGCTTTCAGTCTGCTGAAAGCCAAAGCCATCTGTCCGATAGATAATTTCCACTCCAGTGGGAAGCTTCCCATCAACAAGATGAAACTATGGTTAGTATATGTGCCTAACACATCCTTATCAAGTTAGGCTCAAAATAAAGTAATGTGCTTGGCGTACATGGTTGACATGCTTGTCTAGCACATCATTTTCACATTAGGCCCAAAATTAAGCTATGGCTTACATAAATGTTTGACACATCACATTAATGACAGTATGGGTCTAATGTGTACCTGGGTTGCTGTTGTTGTTCATTCGTTCAGTCGTCTCCGACTCTTCGTGACCCCATGGACCAGCCCACGCCAGAGCTCCCTGTCGGCCGTCACCACCTCCAGGTCCTTCAAGGTCAGTCCAGTCACTTCAAGGATGCCATCCATCCATCTTACCCTTGTTCGGCCCCTCTTCCTTTTACCTTCCACCTTCCCCAGCATAATTGTCTTCTCCAGGCTTTGCTGTCTCCTCATGATGTGCCAAACTTTGTCTCTAGTATCCTTCCCTCCAGTGAGCAGTCGGGCTTCATTTCCTGGAGGATGGACTGGTTGGATCTTCTCGCAGTCCAAGGCACTCTCTGCACTTTCCTCCAACACCACAGCTCAAAAGCATCTCTCTTCCTTTGCTCAGCCTTCCCTAAGGTCCAGCTCTCACATCCGTAGGTGACTACAGGGAATACCATGGCTTTGACTAGGCGGATCTTTGTGTACCTGGGACATCACTCTAAAGTCAGGCCCAAAATTAAGTGTGACTTGCATGACTGCATTTCTGTATACAAACCCACACGATCTCTTCGATCATCTGGAGAGGCCCTGCTCGCGCTCCCACCACCATCGCAAGCGCGATTGGTGGGGACGAGGGAGAGAGCCTTCTCGGTGGTGGCCCCCCGACTCTGGAACTCACTTCCCAAGGACATCAGACATGTCCCAACTCTGGCAGTCTTTAGGAGGAGCCTGAAAACGTGGTTGTTCCAGTGTGCCTTCCCGGAATAAGGAAAACCCTCAGCAATATGCCCTCAAAATGCACTTTACCGTTGATTTAGGACTGATTGCGTTCCTTCGTCTCTCCTTGAAAATTCTACCACAGTTATATCCTACCATGTCCATGTCCAGCATTATTTTTAATTTTAATCTATTACATTTGGTCCGGCTATTGGTTTTAAATGCTTGTGTGTTACTGTTGATTTATTGTTTATTTTTGTTATGTGATTTATATTACTTGTATTGCTTTGATTGTTTTGTTATTGCTTTTGTTTATTGCTGTACTGTGGGCTTGGCCTCATGTAAGCCGCACCGAGTCCCTTGGGAGATGGTAGCGGGGCACAAATAAAGTATTATTATTATTATTATTATTATTATTATTATTATTATTATTATTATAAGCTGTGGCTAACTTGTGCCTAGCATTATTATTATTATTATTATTATTATTATTATAACTTTATTTGTACCCCGCTAGCATCTCCCAAGGGATTCGATGCGGCTTACACTGGCCGAAGCCTCAAAAACACAATACAACAATACAATACAACAATACAATGCCCAAGCAAATTAAAAACAGTTAAGCAGGAAAACAATAACAGTGACAGTACAACAAACACTATTAAAACTGGGCCGGCCGAAATAGGGGTACAGGGTTAAAAGTGCTGATGTGGCAGGAGGGATGTGGGATTAAATATAAGTGCGGTGTGCAGTGTGCAGTGATCTTGGTTCTACTAAGGTGCTTCTAGGATTTGGTACTGGAGGTTCCTAATCTGAAAAGGCACATCGGAACAGCCAGGTTTTCAATTCCTTCCTGAAGACTGCCAGCGTAGGGGCTTGCCTGAGATCTTTCAGGAGGGCGTTCCAGAGTCGGGGGGCCACCACAGAAAAAGCCGTGTCTCGTGTCCCCACCAAGCGCGCTTGCGACGCGGGTGGGATCATGAGCAGGGCCTCTCCAGATGACCGGAGTGAACGTGTGGGTTTGTAGACAGCGATACGGTCATGCACGTATCATTTCGAGACCCCATCTGCCCCAGTTGTCCCCGCACAATCAATCACTCTTTCCCGCCCAAGAACACTTCCCTTGTTCAGCCCACTCAGTTCCCTCGATGACTCTCTGTCCTCCCCAACATCGGAAGCATCCCCATCTAACACCCAAGGGAGATCATACTCCAGCCCTACCTTTTCTGAGAGTTGACTAGCCACAGATTCCATCCATGTAGGGGGGGGGGGGGGGCCCGGAGGAGGGGGGCACCATTCAGGTCGTGTGGGGGAGGAGATTTGCGGGTCACCAACATCCCAGGGAGAAGCGCAACAGAGTTCTTGCGACCCTGGAGAAGGTAGGAAGTGGTAGGCTCCATGGCAGTCCCCTTGGTCTTAAGGTCCTGCTGATTAATGCTAGATCCGCATATCATTGTCCTCTCAACAAAAGTTTGCTCTAGGCACTGTCAGGCCATTATATGCTAATCAAGGTGGTCAGTTGAAACATTCACACCTAGCTCCAGCAGACAAGAGTCCTTTGTCCCACCCTGGTCATTCCACAGATATATAAACCCTTTTTCCTAGTTCCAACAGACCTCACTACCTCTGAGGATGCTTGCCATAGATGCAGGCGAAACATCAGGAGAGAATGCCTCTAGACCATGGCCATATAGCCCGAAATAACCTATAACAACCCAGTGATTCCGGCCATGAAAGCCTTCGACAATACTAATGTCCTTAATTCGCCAACTCTATTTGCCCACCACAGCCCTGCAGGTAGAGAAATATTTCGCAGCAACCTGTCTGCAAATGCTGACACGTTTTCCTCCCTTTTATGTCAGGACCCGAAGACTAGTTTGACAGCGCCAGTAACAGCAACTCGTCGAGCCTCACAGGCGGTAAATGTACCGCTTACAGCTCGACGCGAACCGGCCCACGAGGAACTGCAGGAGCTCTCCGTATCCACTGTCTACAGCTTGCTGGCCGCACTGATGCAATGCTTGAGCATGGCCTGCCTGTGTGTGGCCATCTCCTTGCTCAAGTGGGTTATAGTGCTCCAGGAATACGGCCACAAGCCACGGGTTTTCGTGTCCAACCTTTTTGGCGTGCCCTACGAGTTGGTCGTGTATCCAATGCCAGGCAGCAACCAAACATCTGGAGGTACATACATTTGCAAGAAGAACCGGGAGTTGAGCTGATGCGTTTCTTTATTTTCATGACTTGGACCAGTGTTTCTCAACCTGAGGGTCAGGACACCTGGGGGGGGGGGTAGCAAGGGGGTGTCAGAGGGGTCACCAAAGACCATCAGAAAACACAGTATTTTCTTTTGGTCGTGGGTGTTCTTTGTGGGAAGTTTGGCCCAATTCTATCATTGGTGGGGTTCAGAATGCTCTTTGATTGTAGGCAAACTATAATTCCCAGCAACTACAACTCCCAAATATCAAAGTCTATTTTCCCCAAACTCCACCAGTGTCCACATTTGGGAATATTGAGTATTCATGTCAAGTTCAGTTCAGATCCATCATTGTTTGAGTCCACAATGCTCTCTGGATGTAGGTGAACTGCAACTCCCAAACTCAAGGTCAATGGCCACCAAACCCTTCCAGTATTTTCTGTTGGTTCTGTGTGCCAAGTTTGGTCCAAATCCATTGGTGTTTGGATTCACAGTGCTCACTGGATGTAGGTGAACTACACCTCCCAAACTCAACGTCAATGCCCACCAAACACTTCCAGTATTTTCTTTTGGTCATGGGAGTTCTGTGTGCCAAGTTTGGTTCAATTCCATCGTTGATGGAGTTCAGAATGCTCTTTGCTTGTAGGTTAACTATAACTCTCAGCAACTACAACTCCCAGATGACAAAATTATCCCCCCCGCCAACCCCACCAATATTCAAATTTGGGCGTATCAGGTATTTGTGCCAAATTTGTTCCAGTGAATGCAAATACATCCTGCATATCAGATATTTACGTTATGATTCATAACATTAGCAAAACGACAGTTGTGAAGTATCAACGAAAATAATTTTATGGTTGGGGGTCATCACAACATGAGGAACTTCATTAAGGGGTCGTGGCATTAGAAAGGTTGAGAACCACTGACTTGGACAATGAAATATGATGATGTGCTTGCAAAACTTCAACATGGGTTTCTCAAAATTACATCACGCTAGACTAGGCATGGGCAAACTTGGGTCCTCCCGGTGTTTTGGACTTCAACTCCCACAAATCCTAACAGCCGATAGGCTGTTAGGAATTGTGGGAGTTGAAGTCCAAAACACCTGGAGGGCCCGTTTGCCCATACCTGTGCTAAACTAAGCCCATCTCTTTTTTGATAGACTTACCAGGTTTCGACGATGACCAGAGGAGCATTTGCATGGTTAAAACTTGTGCAGTAGTTTCACATGTACCTTGGGAAGTCTGACTTGGCTATGGTGGTCCATGCTCTGGTTACATCCCATATAGACTACTGCAACGCACTCTACGTGGGGTTGCCTTTGAAGACTGTTCGGGAGCTTCAAATGGTCCAACGAGTGGCAGCCAGGTTGCTAATGGGGGTGGTACTCAGGGAACACACTACTCCTCTGTTGCATCAGCTCTACTGGCTGCCAACTTGCTACCGGGCACAATTCAAAGTGCTGGCTTTAGCCTATAACGCCCTAAACGGTTCTCTCCTTATGAACCATCTCAGAGCCTAAGATTGTCTGGGGAGGCCCTGCTTTCGATCCCGCCTGCATTGTAAGCGTGATTGGCAGGACGAGGGACAGAGCCTTCTCAGTGGTGGCTCCAGGGCTATGGAACCCCCTCCCCAGGGATATTAGATTATCCCCCTCCCTCCTGACCTTCTGAAAAAAGGTAAAAACTTGGTTCTTTGAGCAAGCTTTTAAGAATGGAACGGATTAGATAACATGGAAGTATGAATAACGAACATGGAATGGCCAGACAATGTTACTGGAAAAAGATTTTAACAAGATGACGGGATGTAACCAGAGTACCCGTACCTTGGGAAGTCTGACTTGGCCATGGTGGTCCACGCTCTGGTTACATCCCGTATAGACTACTGCAACGCTCTCTACGTGGGGTTGCCTTTGAAGACTGTTTGGGAGCTTCAAATGGTCCAACGAGTGGCAGCCAGGTTGCTAACCGGGGTGGCACTCAGGGAACAAACTACTCCTCTGTTGCATCAGCTCTACTGGCTGCCAAGTTGCTACCGGGCACAATTCAAAGGGCTGGCTTTAGCCTATAACGCCCTAAACGGTTCTCTCCTTATGAACTATCTCTCCTTATGAACCATCTCGGAGCCTAAGATTGTCTGGGGAGGCCCTGCTCTCGATCCCACCTGCATTGTAAGTGTGATTGGCAGGGACAAGGGACAGGGCCTTCTCAGTGGTGGCCCCCTGAAAACTCTTTATCTTTTCTCCCCCCTATTTCAATAGCAAAACTGTATTTCTTTGAGGATGACGAGGAAGACAGCGTGGTGCCTGTGATGATCACCCTCTGCATCCTGGGCCTGTTTTTCGGCTTTATGGCGTTCCTCATGGATTTTGTGAAAATAAAGCACTTCGGCGAGCACCAAATGTCCATCACCTGCTTCCTCCACATTTTTTCAGGTAAATGTCTTCCTTGCTTTTCTGTGCGGCAGGAGCTTACACAGGGCAGGTTCAACCAGTAATTTCATTGTATTGTCGAAAGCTTTCATGGCCGGAATCACTGGTTGTTGTAGGTTTTTTCGGGCTATATGGCCATGGTCTAGAGGCATTCTCTCCTGACGTTTCGCCTGCATCTATGGCACGCATCCTCAGAGGTAGTGAGGTCTGTTGGAACTAGGAAAAAAGGGTTTATATATCTGTGGAATGACCAGGGTGGGACAAAGGACTCTTGTCTGCTGGAGCTAGGTGTGAATGTTTCAACTGACCACCTTGATTAGCATATAATGGCCTGACAGTGCCTGGAGCAAACTTTTGTTGAGAGGTGATTAGATGTCCTTGTTTGTTTCCTCTCTGTTGTTGTGCTGTTTTAATTTTAGAGGTTTTTTTTAATACTGGTAGCCAGATTTTGTTCATTTTCATTGTTTCCTCCTTTCTGTTGAAATTGTCCACATGCTTGTAATGCTACAGCAGACAAGAGTCCTTTGTCCCACCCTGGTCATTCCACAGATATATAAACCCATTTTCCTAGTTCCAACAGACCTCACTACCTCTGAGGATGCTTGCCATAGATGCAGGCGAAACGTCAGGAGAGAATGCCTCTAGACCATGGCCATATAGCCCCCCCAAAAAATCTACAACAACCCAGTAATTTCATTGGTGTGAAAATGAAGTGTACACCATCACAATCTGTTGTTGTTGTTGTTGTTGTTGTTGTGAATACCATCATTTCAGAAACAAATAGCCAACTCATGGATGAAATGTGGATCCTAGCTGTCAAGTGGCAGGTATCAGCAGATGCAAGGGAACGCCAAAGTTTACAAAACTTAGTTGTTGTAGTTATTGTTTGTCATCCAGCTGACAAACAACAAGAGAGACTTCCAAGAGCCTTGGTAATGAACTATCGTACTCAGGTCTTGCAAAACTCAGAGTTCCAACTTTGGTTGCATCTACACTGTAGAATTTGACTGTGTGGATCATAATAAATTGTGGCAAGTTCTTGGTGGGATGGGCATACCAAGCCACCTTGTCTCTCTCCTGAGGAATCTGTACAAGGACCAAGTGGCAACAGTAAGAACTGACCACGGAACAACAGACTGGTTCAAGATTGGGAAAGGCGTACGGCAAGGCTGCATACTCTCACCCAACCTTTTTAACTTGTATGCAGAACACATCATGCGATGTGCGGGGCTTGAGGAATGCAAAGCTGGGGTGAAAATTGCTGGAAGAAACATTAACAACCTCAGATATGCAGATTATTTATTTATCGTGTCAGGCGCAACTAGAGCATTGTATTACCTAACTGAACAAAACAAACAAACAGATAAAAAAACAAAGTTTGCAAGCTTGGTAGTTGATTAAATGTCCTTTGACCAGTATCTGGCCACTTGGAGTGCCTCTGGTGTTGCTGCAAGAAGGTCCTCCATTGTGCATGTGGCAGGGCTCAGGTTGCATTGCAGAAGGTGGTCAGTGGTTTGCTCTTCTCCACACTCGCATGTCATGGATTCCACTTTGTAGCCCCTTTTCTTAAGGTAGGCTCTGCATCTCGTGGTGCCAGAGTGCAGTCTGTTCAGTGCCTTCCAAGTTGCCCAGTCTTCTGTGTGCCCAGGGGGGAGTCTCTCATTTGGTATCAGCCATTGGTTGAGGTTCTGGGTTTGAGCCTGCCACTTTTGGACTCTCGCTTGCTGAGGTGTTCTCTGTAGATCTTAGAAAACTATTTCTTGATTTAAGTTGTTGACGTGCTGGCTGATACCCAAACAGGGGATGAGCTGGAGATGTCACTGCCTTGGTCCTTTCACTATTGGCTGCTACTTCCCAGCGGATGTCAGATGGTGCAATACCGGCTAGACGGTGTAGTTTCTCCAGTGGTGTAGGGCGCAGACACCCCGTGATAATGCGGCATGTCTCATTAAGAGCCACATCCACTGTTTTAGTGTGGTGAGATGTGTTCCACACTGGGCATGCATACTCAGCAGCAAAGTAGCATAGCGCAAGAGCAGATGTCTTCACTGTGTCTGGTTGTGATCCCCAGGTTGCTCCGGAAGCAACCAGATATGCAGATGATACCACTTTGGTGGCCAAAATTGAGGAGGAGCTGAGGAGCCTTCTAACCAAGGTGAAAGAAGAAAGCGCAAAAGCTGTGTTGCAGCTAAACATTAAAAAAAACAAAAAACAGGATTATGGCAACCAGACTGATTGATAACTGGGAAATAGAGGGAGAAAATGTGGAGGCCAGTGACAGGGTTTGTATTTCTAGGCAAAGATTACTGCAGACGCAGACTGCAGCCAGGAAATCAGAAGACATGGAGGAGAGCAATGTCCAATCTCAACAAAATAGTGAAGAGTAGAGACATAACACTGGCAACGAAGATCGCATAGTTAAAGCAATGGTATTCCCCATAGTCACCTACGGATGTGAGAGCTGGACCATAGGGAAGGCTGAGCGAAAGGAAGATAGATGCTTTTGAACTGTGGTGTTGGAGGAAAGTTCTGAGAGTGCCTTGGACTGCAGAAGATCCAACCAGTCCATACTTCAGGAAATAAAGCCCGACTGCTCATTGGAGGGAAGAATAGTAGAGGCAGAGAAGTACTTTGGCCACATCATGAGAAGAAAGGAAAGCTTAGAGAAGAGTATGATGCTGGGGAAAATGGAAGGAAAAAGGAAGAGGGCCGACCAAGGGCAAGATGGATGGATGGTATCCTTGAAGTGAATGGACTGTTGTAGGTTCTTTCGGGCTATATCGCCATGGTCTAGAGGCATTTTTCCTGATGTTTTGCCTGCATCTCTGGAAAGCATCCTCAGAGGTAGTGAGGTCTGTTGGAACTAGGAAAAAGGGTTTATATATCTGTGGAATGACCAGGGTGAGACAAAGGACTCTTGTCTGCTGGAGCTAGGTGTGAATGTTTCAACTGACCACCTTGATTAGCATTTGATGGCCTGGCAGTTGTTTGGTGTGGCTTGTTGGTTCCTGGGGCAATCTTTTGTTGAGAGGTGATTAGATGTCTCTGAATTGTTTCCTCTCTGTTGTTTTGCTGTTGTAATTTTAGAGTTTTTTTAATACCGGTAGCCAGATTTTGTTCATCTTCATGGTTTCGTCCTTTCTGTTGAAATTCTCCACATGCTTGTGGATTTCAATGGCTTCTCTGTGTAGCCTGACATGGTGGTTGTTGGTGTGGTCCAGCATTTCTGTGTTCTCAAATAATATGCTGTGTCCAGGTTGGTTCATCAGGTGATC